GGTACTACAGCTGTATCTAGAAGGCACATAGGTACTACAGCTGTATCTAGAAGGCACATAGGTACTACAGCTGTATCTAGAAGGCACATAGGTACGACAGCTGTATCTAGAAGGCACATAGGTACGACAGCTGTATCTAGAAGGCACATAGGTATGACAGCTGTATCTAGAAGGCACATAGGTACTATAGCTGTATCTAGAAGGCACATAGGTACGACAGCTGTATCTAGAAGATCTAGAGGTAGTACAGATGCATCTAGATGATCCGTAGATATTACAGCTATATCTAGAAGACACATAGGTACACCAGATATATCTAGACAATCCATAGCTACTACAGCTGTATCTAGAAGTCACATAGGTACTATAGATGTATCCAGAAGATCCATAGATAACTACAGCTATACCTAGAAGAGTAGTGACAGGTAAGAAAACTTAAAAGGCATTGGAAGTTGGAGGGTAAGGACCTACTCCGCACCCAATTGTGATATCTTTCTCTTCAGTCCACAGAGGTTGAGAAATTCTTAAAACAATCACTGTCAGGGTGAGAGTCATGCTCCTTGGTCCAGAACTTGTCATGACAGTATGTACCGTCACTCAGCAGCAGTACTCACGAAGACTGAGAACACTCCCTGGTTTGTGGCCTCCACAGCTGTGGCCAGTTGTCAAGTGATAGCCTAGATCTTGGCTGACAAACAGGTCATCAGCCTCATCAGATGGTACCTGGATGCCCAGTAAGGGGCCCAAAAAACCCAAACCAAACACTGCCATTGAGTCAATTCCAACTCATAGCAACTCTTTAGGACAGACCAGAACTGGTCCTTAGGGTTCCAAGATGAAAGCTTTAAAGGAGCAGACAGCCTCATCTTTCTTCCATGGAGCAGCTGGAAGATTTGAACTGTTGACCTCTCAGCAGTCCATTACTTATCCCAAGGCTGCTGATGGTAAGGGACACCTCCCTCAGAAGACTCTGCCTTTGACCTATAACAGGAAGCATCATCCTTTTCCAAGAGAGGGGAGTGGCCGTGAGGTTGTGGGGCTGGCAGCCTAGCTGCCCTTGGCTGGTTCACAGTGTAGCCTTGTCAGAGCTCTCAGCAATGGAGCATGGACACTGGGCAGTCCTTCTGTTGGCTAACATAGAGACAGAGAACAAGACCAAATTTCAGTGTCTGGTTTCATCTACAAAAGCAAATTTTACAGTGGTGTGAGCGTGGGAAGAGAGTGATGGAGGAACCATGGTTAATATTTGTGGTCCATGCACCTCATTGTGTATAACCTTTACCGAGTATTTTCTGTGTCATGAAACAACCAGTCAGCATAAGCATCTTCAGTAGCAACTGAAACGTTTCCTTGATTTCCCCCAGCAGTCCAAGGAAATGTCCTCAGTGGGCTTCATTTTAGTCACTAGACCTGAACTGGCTGGTGACTGACCTTTAAAGCCAATCAGCATCACCCAGGCAGAGCCCTCCACAGGCCCCACACCTGGAGCAGACGGACAGTGCTTTGCTAGGGGATAGTGCGGGAGCCACAAGGATTCAGCAGGAGAGGTTAGTGTCCCAGCCTCAGGCTACGGTACCCAAAGCCCAAGTCATTCCCTGTGGTGACAAGGGCTGAGGACACTGGACAGCATTTGAGAGGCTCTGAACTGTCAGGCCGCCACTCTTGTCACTGTAAAAGCCCAAAAGAAACACGGCTGCTTCTTGGACTAGAATAAGACTCCCTGGGATCCTCTTTTGGGAGCCCAGTGACTCCATAAGGTAAGCTCCACAGCTGGCTCCTCAGGAGAAAGATGAGGAGGCTTTCTGCTCCTGCAGAGATTTACAACCTTAGAAACCCTATGCAGGTTGCTATGAATAGGAATCCACTCCAAGGCTGTTAACAACAACAAGGTGTTTAGACCAATGGAAAGGAGCCCTGTTGGCATGGTGGTTAAAGCATTTTGCTGTTCGCCAAAAGGCTGGTGGTTTGAACCCACTAACCACTGTGAGGGAGAAAGAACGGTGTGGCAGTCTGCTTCTGTAAAGATGACAGCCTTGGGAACCCTGTGGGGCAATTCAGTGTTCTGTAGGGTCACCGCTATGAGTCAGAACTGACTCTGTGGCAGTGGGCTTGGTGGTTTACCTCCCAAGGTGGGGCTGATTGTGAAAACACCAAATTTAAAAACCAGAAGCTCTGGGAAGCATGTTGGCAGGGCAGATCAGTGACAACCCACCCCATCTGCTAAGAGTTAACCAGCGAGGAAGGCAGTTCTCAGAGCACACGGCAGGGGCACACTGCAGCCACAATGGTGACGCTCACACTTTCCCAACTCTTGAGGTTTGTCAGACTCAGCAGGAGGAGGGGGCGGCGACCAGAAGGGAAGCACGAGGGGGTGAGCCCAGGAGCGGCTCGGCTTCCCCGTGGGCTCAGCAGACATACCGTTGATGATGCGGGCCACCCGCCACAGCCGCAGCAGAATCAACAAGCCAAGAGCCTCGAACTCATGCTCCCGGAACAGGAGAACGATGTCAAGGATGAAGGAAACCACCACCACAATGGCATCCAGGATTTCAAACTTGTGGTGAAAGAACTCCATGCGGAAGACAAATATCTTAAAGAAAACCTCCATCATGAAGAAGGTCAGGATGGCGATGCTCATGTAGTGGAACACCTGGAGGGGTAAGGAGCCGCGGTCAGGGCAGGGCGGGGCTATGAGCAGGGCTGGGCCAGGTCACACAGTCAAGCTGACCTCAAGAGCACCCGTCCAGTCAGCAGGGGGAGAACTCACTTGTTCAACAAATAGTGAACTGCTGGGTTCTAGGTGCTATGCTCCGTGCTGGGATACAAGGGAGACACAAGTGTGGCCCCTGCTCTACTCTTTGAAGGGCACTCAAGCAGTATCTGTCAGAATGAAAATCTAGATACCCTTTGGCCCAACAATTGCACTGTTGTCATTAAGTGCCATGAAGTGAGTTCCGACTCACAGTGACCCTGTATAGTGTTTGAACGGCCAGCCTCGCAGTTAGCAGTCCAGTGCTGATGCTATGGCAGGCACCACCTCAGGACTCAGTTACCCTGCTAAGAATTAACAGCTTAGTTCACACATGCACACAGACTGGTAAGGATATTTGCTGCCACATTAGTTGTAGAACAAAAGAGTAGAAACAATATACGCATCTATCGGAAGGCCCTCATCAGATGAATTATGGTACCTTAATATGGAACACTACCTAAGAGTTAGAAAGACCATGCTGTCAGACCCATGTGTACTAATTAGGAACAATCACGCTGGTAGGTTTAAGGGTTCCCCACTGAGGTTTATAAACCCCACTGAGTCCTCACTGGTAGTGATTGGTGGTTGTGTGCCATGGAGTCGGTTCCAACTCACAGCAACCCTGTACAGGGTTTCTGAGGCTGTAAATCTTTATGGGAGCAGAAAGCCTCATGTTTCCCCCACGGAGCAGCTGATGGTTTTGAACTGCTGACCTTGTGGTTAGCAACCCAACATGTAACCCACTACACTACCAGAGCTCTACTGAAATTCTCACTAAAGAGACCATTAACCTTTCCAGGGCAGGCATACGAATAAGATAAAGACACATTTCTAACTGTGTCTTTAAGTCTATGTAGAGTTTGTAGTTAGCCTTGCTTTGGTGCAAAAACGGCTCGAAGCTTTTTCGGTGATTTAAAAACTGCTTGTACAGCAGTGAAGGGTATGGGTAGTATCGAAGGATTTGTTTCAAGTAGGGACTGACTCAGTCATTTCAAAGTCAGGGTACGTAGCAGCTGTCCATAGTCAGATGTTTGTACAAAGACCATGGGCATCTTATGTCAGAAAGTAAGGAGGTACTCCCAGATTTCTGGAGTCCGAGGGACAGCAGTCAGTTCAAAGAGACTCACAGTGAGGACATGTGGTACAATTTGAGCATCAAACAGTGACTATGATTGACTGTAATTCACTGGTAGACCCTGAGTCTCTGGTGACACACACAATGTACACACGCAGACAGATGCTCATGCAGATAAAGAAGGAAATCCTTCTTCATAGAAAGAGAGAAGATGAGATGAGGAAGGGAGCCTTCCGCATCCTCCTCTTTATCACCATCCCCTGCCTGCTGCCTTCACTGACCCAAGAAGCCTCATCAGTGGAGGCGACTGGGCAGAGCTCTGTGTGGCATCCAAGTACAGTAGCAGTGGACAGAATGGTGCCCACTGCTGAGAAAGGCATCTCTGGACAGCAGGTCAGCTCATCATTCTAGTGGGCCCCTGACATGAGGGCCTCCTTGTGATGCAATATGAAGGACAAGCCCATGGAGGGAAGGCCCCCGGGCTTCTTGGCTCTGCCATGCATGCAGTTATGTTTAACACAGCCCACTTAACTTTGTTCAGGGTGTTACAATGCTTCTAGATAGAAAGTGACACCCCCCGAGTTCAGGAGCAGCCACAGAAATGTATCCACACACCAAAGGGAAGGGTGCATTTTGGCCAGGACAGGGGTGCGTGGACATTATCTACGCATGCGTGGACATTATCTGCCCCACTCTGTCCAGCTTTGGTGTGGACAATAGAAATTAACTCAATGGATGCTGACACAGTACCTTGGCAGCATAGTTGTTCCTGTCGGGCTGGATGATCTTCAAGTCCAGGATCAGTTCAGCGAGCACCAAGAGGGCATCCAGCACGACCAGGCAAATGATGATAACCTGTGGCAGGAGAAGAAGGCAGAAACTGTGAGGCCTACCAGGGACTCTGCTTTCAGTTACAAGTGCTGATCTGGAAACATTTGATTCATACTATGTGGTAACAACATCGAGGTTAGAGGAGGTCACTCACTGTCTGTAGGCTGAGCACTCTGCAGAGAGCCTGGGGGACCAGCTGTCTCTCCCACAGAGAAGCCTTCCTTCCCAGTGTCCTCTGGGCCTGCTTCCTTCCAGCAGACTCTGCCTTCCGTGTCCTCTTGGAACATATCTGCACCACTCAGTTACCGACAGCAGCAGCAGCAGCCGACCCCTCAGTCATTACTAGTTCTTTACTTCCCCATTCACTGTTTGTCAAATAGCATCTCTCAAATCATCCTGCTAATTCCTTGTTGTTGTTGTTGTTATGTGCCGTGGAGTCGGTTCCGACTCATAGAGACCCTATACAGTGTTTCCGAGGCTGTAGATCTTTACGAGAGCAGAAAGCCTCATCTTTCTCCCACGGAACAGCTGGTAGTTTCGAACTGCTAACCCTGAGGTTCGCAGCCCAATTCGTAACCAAATAACTATTAAATTTCTATTTCCTACAAGGGTATGCATAGAACTGATATCCCAGCCTCAGTGTTCTGAGCCCTGGAAGGTATCTCTGGGGACTGCCTGCTTTAGGTGACGGGCAACAGCAGTCCCCTCTGTAGAGACAGGACACTTTCTGCTCAGAGACATGAAACACCCAGCCCTCAGCATGAATGTGCTCAGGAGGGTGTAGGAGACTGAGTCCTGGATTTCTGGAGAACTGAAAAGAGCAGCAATGGGAAGGACAGTCTCCCAGGCAGCCTTCTACCATGTGTCTGGGTGGGCTTGACAGAGTGGCATGTGAGTGGCCTCACTAATGGTGGTCGGATGGATGGTGGGCTAGAGGTGACTGCGTCCGGTTGATGGTGTAGGAACTGCAGCCATGGGAAGAGTCCTGAAAGACACTGGGCGGCCCCTCTCTTTCCCCATTCGTTCCAGACCATCACTTACTCCTGCCAGGACCTTGGTTTTTTTACATGCTCAGTTCAATATATGTTGACCTCTGAAAATTAATCTGCCATTATCTTGGCAACATCTGTAGTTTCAGGTTTAAATGAAAAAGCTCACGTCTATGCCTCAAGACTATTGAACCTTTTGACCGTTTCAAAACTTAGCTCTGATTATTGCAGTAATTAAAGTATTTTATGGTGTGACTTATAAAAACTGCATGGCTAATTGTTTTATAATGAAGTTTTCACATGCACCCATTGAAGCCTCTGGTATTTCCTTTTCCATCTTTGGTTTTATTTGAGCTAAAGGGGCTGAGAGCTCATTTGGTCTAGTACCATGGCCCAGAGATAGTAAGAGACACACCCAAGGGCCTCAAACGGTGACACCAGGGCCCAACCCATTCTGTCAACTAAACCCAAGGCCAAATTTGCCCGTTCAGAATGCTGGGAAGCCAGAGCAGCTGGTAATTCCAAATTCTCCCTGGCACCGCTGGCTGAGCTGAGCCTCAGAGCTTAGTGTAATGGGGCAAGGGCTTCAGGCAGCTGGTTAAATCATGGGATCTTGGGAGCATCTCAGTACCGAGAGCCTTTCCAAATATCAGCGCCCCTCCAGGGAGAGTAGGACTACCTATATTTTCTGTTCCAGAGGAACTATGGGAGCAGTGGCTGAGGTAACAGCAAATAGGTAAAAACAGAGGCTCACCTCACAATTTAAACACAGCATTGATGTATGACCGGCCATTCAATTCAATTGCATTCTAGGTACACACCCAGAAGACTGGAAAGTGGGGCCTGAGATACATACATGTTCATAGCACTATTCACAGGAGCCAAAAGGTGCCTATGACCCAAATGTCCATGTTTCATCAACAGCTGAAAAGGTCAACAAAACTTCGTCTATCCATACAATGGAGTTTTACTGAGCCATAAAGGGATGTGAAGTTCTGACACATTCTACTACCCAGGGAACCTTGAAATTATGTCCAGTGAAATGGTATGACCCCACTTCATCACAATATCTAGACTTGGCAAATGCAGAAAGAGCGAAGTTAATTAGTGGTTATCAGGCTGGGGGAGGGGCATGGGGACTACCACTGAAGGGAGACTGGGTTTCTTTTGGGGGCAATGGAAAACTGTTGGGCCTGGTGGTGATGGTTGTAAAACATGGTGAATGTAATCAATGTTACTAAGATGTACATGTAAAAATGGTTTATGTGGTAAATTTTGTGTGTGTATTGTTGTTATTAAGTGTTGCCAGATCGGTTCCGACCCATAGCGACCCTGTATAGGGTCTACAAGGAGTGGGTGGTGGGTTTGAACCATTGATCTTGTGGTTAGAAGTCCAGTACTTTATATAGGTTTGGTGGTGGTTATGTGCCCTGGAGTCGGAACCGACTTATAGCAACCCTGTATAGGGTTTCCAAGGCTGTAAATCTTTATGGGAGCAGAAAGCCTCATCTTTCTCCTGTGGAACAGCTGGGAGTTTCAAACTGCTGACCTTAAGGTTTGCAGCCCAATTCATAACCACTACATTACCAGTGCTCCTTACTACATATATATATATATTTCCTTATATATGTATATATTGGTATATGTATATATTGGTATATGTATATATACACCAATATATGTATACGTTGGAAACCCTATATAGGGTTTCCGAGGAGCGGCTGGTGGGTTTGAACAGCCAACCTTGCATCTGGCAGTCCAGCGCTTTTTCTATAGCGCCACACCAGTAGATGCTTAATATGCAATTTTCAAATCAATGAATAACCATCTTTATGTATGTGATGACAGTCAGTCTTCTCTTTTCTCAGTAGGAGGGTCCCCAGGGGTCCTAGCTCAGGGTGCCAGCCCCTAGGAGGCTAAGTCACCCTGTGACCTAGCCAGGGGTGGTGAGAACCCTGAAGAGGGCGGTCCAGGGCTCCCTCTTGCAGCTGGAAGGAAGTTGGCTCCTTCCTTCTGTTCCTGAAATTGAGGGTTTGGGATTTCAATCCCAACAACTTAATACCACGTTTCCTTTCCCATCACAGCCACAGAGGGAGCGAGCTGATATGCAGGCAGGGCTGGCCTGTTGCCTTGTTTCAGTGTTTTAAGCCACATGAGAGGAAATAAAAGACCCAATTAAATGTTTTTTTCTGTTTTACCCTGGAACAAAGTCAGCGGTGGAGACACAAGAGCAGAAGGGTCATTCGTCAACACTGAGAGGAATGGTTGATTCTGGTTTAGGAGGAGGCTAACTTCAGTGTTCCCAAAATGGCACCATTCCAGAACTGGACCAATAGGAGCTTCACGCTTCCTTAAGGTCACTGGGTCTCCTACATTCTCCGGGGACTTTAAACATGTTTCCAGACTCTGGCCTATCTACCTCAGGGCTGGGGGCAGAGGTTCTGTGAGGGCTGGCCAGACTCAACCTGTATCTGCTCTTTCCAACTCTGAGGCGGGACAGACACTGACCCCAGTAGACAGCTGCCAGTCTCGGAAGTCCCACATAGCCACACCTTGAGGCCAGCAGTGGGTCAAAATCAGGTGGCCATTTCTGGGATCACATCACAAAGGAAGAGGGTGAGGCCTGTGATGATGAGTCTCTGTGTGGAATGGGATTCTTAGGCCTTGTTCCCCTCAAAACCGGCTCTCACTGTTTCTGAGAGGAGCTCTTCAGTTAATTTATTGTGTTAAAAGACACGTAAGGTAACATTTACCATTGTAACTATTTTGAAGCGTACAGTTCATTGCGGCATGAAATGCACCCACCGCATTGCACCATTCTCTATTTGTAAAGCATCTTTGTCACCACAAATGGAAACTCTACATCCATTGTTAGCATCCCTCCCCCACGTTCCTCCTCTCCAGCTTGTTCTCTCCCTGGACATCTCATAGAAATGGAATCCTAGACTTTGTGCTCCTTAGTAACCGACTTCTCTCAGAACAATGGTTTCAAGGTTCACCCATGCGATAGCGGGTATCAGGACTCCATTGCTTGACATGACCGAGTAAGAGTCCATTGTGTGGATACACCACATTTTCTTCAGCAGCTATTTGTTTGTTGCTGGATCTTTAATGCTCTTTTGGTTCTCGGTCCAGTGCTTACTCTATGGAGCCACTGAGCTACTACTACCCCTTTAATGGTCTTTTTATTATGAAATGTTTTCCCTCAGACATCAGAAGCTCTGCCCGTTGTGTGCCTGGTGTTGCGTGGGGCACTTGACACATCGATGGCCCCACCCGGCCTTATGAGCCTGTCTCAGAGCTCTGCCCCACCTACCTGAAACCTGTGAGAACTGAAGAGCTTCCGCAACGTGGCCCTGAAGTCTCGGAGCCGCCTGGGTGCTGGGTCAGGGCCAGCAGCAGCACTTGGGTCAGCAGCTCTGCCCTCCTCAGTGGAGGCCGGTGTTGGTGGCTGCTCCTCCTCTTCCTCCTCCTCATTCTCCCACTTCTTATAGTTGATGTTCCAAGTGTGGTAGTCGTCCCCAACGACAGTAAAATGCCTCAGGAACTTGCTCATCCTCTCGGCGGGCGCCACCTTGGGCCTACGGGTGACTGCCTAAGGGTGCAAAAGGGAGAGCTTTAGGCTGGGTGGCCCTAAGAGCCTATAGGAACGTTCTGACCCCACGGTGCTCTGATGGGGAGAGAGATCAAAGCTAGGCCAGGCCGCAGGGTAAAGATGGTCCTGGGCTGCTCAGAGCAACACAGGAGCTCAGAGACCATGAGGTCACGGTGGTTTCTTGTGAGTTTATTTTTGGAATCAGTGAGGCAACAGGAAACTGAGACCTACCAGGCCTGTGTCTGTGGTCTGGCTGGCAGTAACCAATGGAATTGGTTCTATACCCTGTCACAAAATACCTAACACAGGCCCATGTGTAACTACCGGAAGAGCTGGGCCCCATGGTTCAGAGACATCACAACCTGAAAAACTGGAGGTGAGAGTTAGCTAGGTAGGGGTACGGGTGCTGAAAGTAAAAGTTCCCAGACTTTCACCAAAGCACAATGAGACCCCTCATGTCACGAATTGGTTCTTGGAAGGTGAGTTGACAAATCGACTTTTTCACATTCAGTCAGTGACGTTTTTAATACACTATGGGCAGTTGTTTAAAGAGAAAAGGTGTTGAAGCAAAAGACAAATAATTCTCCTTTTGTCCAATTTACCCTCCTTAATATTACAATTTTTATAAAGCAAAATGATGAAAACTTTCTGGTATTAGTGTTTGTTGGGTTGTTGTGAGGTGTTGTTGAGTTGGTTCAGATTCACAGGGAACCTGTATAGGGTTTCAAGAATTGCTGACTTTGTGGTCAGCAGTCCAGTGCTTATACTACAGTGTGCCACACACCAGGACTCTCACTGCAAGAAGTATAAGAATAGGCAATAGGAATAGTAGAAGAGCAAAAGGGAGCTCCCAAAAGATCTGTGTCCCTGAGTAACTTGGGACATGATGGTGGTAGTATTATAGATCAGAGGTAGGATACCATCAACACGACAAAAACTGATCCCTACCTCATACCACTCACAAAATAAATCTCAGATGCTCTAGCAATAAAATAGAGCCTGGTGATGCTGTATGATATGCACTAGGCTACAGACCACAAGGTTTGTAGTTTGAGCTCACCAGGAACTCCACAGGAGAAAGATGAGGTTTTCTGCTTTAATAAAAAATTTAAAGCCGCGGAAACCCTATACAGGGTTTCTATGAGTCAGAACCAACTTGATGGCACTTAAAAAGAAAAACAACAGTGAACTATATAAATGTATAAAACAAAACTTTGAAGCTTTAGCATAAAATACAAGGCAAGTGATGAAAGGAGATGGGTCTCATGATACAACAGTGAATAAATGTTACCAGGACTGACTGTGAGGGTTGGAAATGTAAAGGTAGACGTCTTGTAGCAAAAGGAAGGGAGTGGTTGACTTTGCAGTCCAGAAGCGGAGGTCCCTGGGACCATCAAGGGAGAAGAGCATAGTGCAGGGACCCTACCCAGAGAAACAGTGACAACAGAGATGGAGGCAGAGAAAATGACGTTGAGAGTTGGAACAGCTGGAGACTCTAGACCCAGAGAGGGAGAGGAACTGTATGTTGATGACTGAGGGGCAGGCTTGCGGGGTATAACCTTTGTTTGTTTGATGACGCATGGAGGGATTGTTTAATCATGGCAATGAAATGATATACGATAGGATGAAACTAAAGCTAATGCTCTCCCATTAAACTATCATATAATTCACAATAAAACATTAAAAAAAAAAAAAATACAAGGCACGTATCTTCCAGACCTCAGGACAGGAAGAAACCACTTCAAACAAAAAATACAAGGGAAATCAACAGATTGGACTGCTTCAAAATGACAAGTATTCGTGAGACCAGCCCCCAACAAATAGACACCCTACAAGGTGAAAATACACACCATAGATTAGGAGAAAACATTTGCAATGTATTTCATAGACAAATACTTAGTTTCCAGAATATATAAGGAAATGTTACAAAGCAAAAATATTGGGCAATGCCTATTAAAACACAGGTCAATGTAAGAGGAAACCCAGATGGCTAAGATGCTCACCTCACTAGTACTCAGAAAAATGCAAATTAAAGTGACCGTCACACATCTTGTCATTTCTCATCTGGGTGAGGGTATGACACAACTGGGTCTCTTGAACAAGGAAGATGGGAAAATCTACTGGTACCATCATGCTGGGAAGCAATTTGCTGTTCTATCGACGAGATGAAGTTGTGCATATCCCACCTAATGACTGAGTAATTCCATCCCTAGATAGTCTCCAAAGAGAAACCTCCTCTATGTGCCCAGATCAGGGGCATGTTCAAGAATGTTCATTGTAATCACTGAAACTGGAAGAGTATTTTTAAAACCACCTGCATGTTGATCATTGAAACATAAATGAATGATATCTTAACCTTTATCTGTTCATGTGATGGAATACTATACAGCTGTCAAAATGAATGGATATCTCTATATACCACTGATGAGCTCCACCATCTACCCCCTCAGCAGTACTGGACACATGTAAAAAGGAAATCATTCCTTTTTCTTCAAACCCCTCCTTCACTTGGCTTTTGGAATGCCATATATTTCTGGTTTTCTTCCTATCTCAAAGATCGTTCCTTGCCAGCCTCCTCCGTTGGATCCCTAAAGAGGAATGCCTTACATTCAAGTATTGGTCTTACATTAGTATTTCTGGGGCTAAGATCTCAAGGTTGGTTGTTTAAACATACCAGGCACTCCTCAGAAACCCTATACAGGATTGGTATGATTCGGAACTAAATGGCATTTAACAACAAGAACTCAGACCACCTCTCTTCTCCAAAGTCCCTAGGGGATCTCATTCACCCATGGTTTTAAATACCATCTCTACATTTAAATACTATTTCCAGTCCCTGCACTCCAGAAAGGATTTCTAACTGCGTGCAGAACATCACTCCAAGATTATCTAATGGCTCTGTTACACCCACCATGTCCAAAGCAGAACTATTCATTCTTCACGTAAACCTGCTCCATCTCAATTTTATTTTATTTGTCCAGTTCCTTAGGCTCCAAACTTTGGGATCATTCTTGATCTCTTATTATCTTATTAAACATTTTCCCAACTCCTTGGAAACCCTATACAGGGTAGCTCAGAGTCGGAACTGACTAGAAGGTTCCTAACAACAAAAAATTCTGTTAGCTTTGTCTTTAAACTACATTCCCAAAAGGACCTTTTCTCCCCCTTCACTGCTATTCCCTGGTCTAAGCCAATCATCACTTTGTATTTCTTGCTTGAATTACTTTAGTAATTCCTCCTTTCCTGTTCCTCATATGCATTCAGCAACCAGAAGAACTTTCTAAAACATACACGAGACCATGTTACACTCCTGCTTAAACTCCTCAAATGGCTTTCCAGCAGACTTAGTCCCTCTCGTCCCAGATGTCTGCACGGCTGGCTCACATAAGTCAGGCTGAAGTCCTCACGTAAGTCAGGCTTCGACTTACTTTGCACCTCCCTCTGAGACACCTTGCTGGGTCAGCTTCCAGGCATACTCCATCCCCTTCTCCTGCTTCATTTGTTTTTCTTGTACTTAATTGCTCTCTGACAACACATCAGAGATTATTATCTAATGTTTATTAACTCCTGGTGTGACACTGTAGGATCAGCACTAGACTTCAAACCACAAGGTTGGCAGTTCAAAACAACCAGCTGCTCCTTGGAAACCCTATACAGGGTTGCTATGACTTGGAACCGACTGGACAACATTTAACAACAACAACAATCTATCTTCTTTACTAGATATCCAGTGCCTACAACACTGCCATGCACTAAACACTCAAAAACATGCAAATATTTGCTAAGTGACTAGAAGAATACAAATGTTGTTTGTTGTGATGTGCCATCCAGCTGGTTCATACTCACAGCAACCCTATGTACAAAGCACTGCCCGGTCCTGCATCTTTCTCAAAAATTTGCTATATTGGAGTCAATGTTGATGGTACTGTGTCAATCTATCTCATTGAAGGGCTTCCTCTTTTTTGCTGACCCTCCATTGACCAAGCATGATGTCCTTCTTCAAAGACTGGTCCCTCCTGACAACATGTCCAAAGTATGAGGGATGAAGTCTCACCATCTTCGCTTCTAAGAAGCATGCTGACTATAGTCCTTTCAAGACAGATTTGTTTGTTCTTACAGCAATCCATGATACCTTCAGTATTCTTTGCCAACACCATAATTCAAATGCATCGATTCTACAGCCTTCCTTATTCATTGTGCAACTTTCACATGCACATGAGGTGGCTGAGAATACTATGGAGCACCTTAGTCCTCAAAATAACCTCTTTGATGAAGAGACAGATGTTGTATAAGACCACAACTGTAAAAAGTCAAGAAAAGGTTTTCAGTCTGTAACAGTCATTCTATGATGGTTACCAGGGGTGAGAGGGAAGGGAGAGTTAGTCACTGGGGTAGAGTATAGACAAGCGCTAACTTGGGTGATGGGGAAGACAGTTAAAAAGAAAAAAGTACAAAGAAGCAAAAAGGAAAAATTTTTTCTTCATGTATTAGAAGGGAAACAATGCATATTTATTCCCTCATTGGGAAATTTCCTGAAAATTGAAAAAAAGCAAAAGGAAAGAAGGAAAAAAAGAAGAAGTAAATAGAGTAAAAAAGATTTGGAAATGGATGGTGATAATGGTTGTGCAATAAAAGATATATAGTTGGTGTCTCTGGATTGTAAATGTAAAGATAGTTGAAATGGCAAGTTCTCACTTTTAAAAAAAGTATATATTTTTTAAGAAAATAATGTGCCCAATGCAATACGTCATTTGATTTCTTAACTGCTGCTTCCACGAGTATTGATTATGGATCCAAGAAAAAAATGAAGTCTTGGACAACTTCAATCTTTCTCCATTTATTGTGATGTTATTTGTTGGTCCAGTTGTAAGAATTTACATTTTCTTTACATTGAGATGGAATCCATACTGAAGATTGTAGTTATTGGTCTTCATCAGTAAGTATTTTAAATCTTCTTTGCTGCCAGCAAACAAGACTGTGTCATCTGCATATCACAGATT